TTTCAGCTCTAGAAACATGTTGTCAAGCATAGGAACAGGCTGCCCAGGGAACTTGCTCACCATCCCTGGAGATACTTAAAAGACATATAGATGATGCACTTAGGGACATGGTTTAGTGGTAGACTTGGTAGTGCTGGATTAAGGGTTGGACTCAATGCTCTTTGAGGACATTTCCAATGCAATAACTCTATGATTCTATGTTTAATTTTTCCTTTCTGCATGCATTTACATGAGGTGTTCAGATTTAATCCAAACAAGAGTGATCTAGCAAAAAGAGATGCCGAAGTTGATTCTTCTTATTGTGATAAAGATATTTAATGCCATTTGCAAAACTGGTATTTACAATAGTTTTCTTTAGAAGATTACATTAATAGTAACAGGAGACAGAAATCAAGAAGATTCAAATACAGCTCCTAATTTGTTTGTTCTAAATTCTTTGTAGATTAGTTTCACTGTGAGACTAAACTATCTCATGATGATGAAAAAGAAATTATTAAATGTGCTTAAATGATGCTATAAGATGTTCACAAAATGCTGCTTCATCTGGTAGGCTCTTAAACTCCTTTGACCTGTAAGTTCTGTAGCAGTATGCACATACACAGTAAAATCGTATCAAACTCCTTAGCACCTATTTTACAAGTAGAGTCTGTCAAGACTGGGTAGCTATTCAAAACCATTTCCACTTGTAGGGGGCTTAATATGTTGACGTCCATCACCTAGGGCTCAGGCAAAAAGGAAGTGACCATCCTCCTTTCTTCCTCCACTATATCAGACATCCACCTGGATTATGGGAAGGGCAACTCTGGGAGACTTGTAAAGGACTTCATATCACATCCTTGCCTTACAGTAAGTCACTTGATTTGTGGGCCTTAAAGTGTTCAGAGATGAGGGCTCTCATTTTGGTTGTGCTCCTCAACTTTCTCTTATGGTAAGGTGCGTAAAACCCCAGCAACTCACTGCCATAATTTGCATAGAAAACTTATGATCCTAAGAGGTTCTTTGCATAGGGCAATTTATCATGCTTCTAAACAGCCACAGAATGGGCATTTTCAGCTTACATGAGCTCACCCATCTCATCTTGCACAGCCTGTGATTTTGCTCTAGGGACATGCTGGGTTAGCGCATTCCAAATAGGAATGTAAATTATGTTTACCTTTTTTGTGCAACGTTGCATCAGACCAGCTTTCAAAACAGCAAGTCTTCCTGAGTAACTACAATTTGAAGTTTTGCTGCTAGTCTGGATATGTTTATGTTAAAAGGAAGTGTGGTTACTGAGCTTGCATAGTGGTAATAAGGATAAGAAACCTATGCTGAGTGTTATGACCTTCCCTACCAGCCAGGAGTATTATTATTAAATAATATTTAATAATTTAATAATAATAATAATAATAAATAATAATAATTTTAATATTATTTTTATTTTTATTATTAAATCCCTTGGAGTAATTTAAACAATACTAGATTATCAGCATTTGTTGATAGATAGATAGATAGATAGATAGATAGATAGATAGATAGATAGATAGATAGGATTTATTTCAGAACAATTTGGTTGCAAAGGAAGACTGGTATGTAGCCGTTTTGATTGTTATTATCTATAGTAACATGGTGATATAAAACATAACGGTATTGCAGAGCAAAACAGGTATTTGACCATTTTGGTTGTAATGTAGCCACCCAAGAAAATGTGTAAGGCAAAAGAGAGACAAAGAGAGAGAGAAAAGAATAAAGATTCATAGCCACCACTTAGAGGTCTTCAATGAACTTGGTGGTGGTTGTCCCTGGTGTCTTGGTCCATCGGGGAGTGGCGGGGGAGAGAAACCCATGAAGCATTCAATGAGTTTATATGCCTTCAGAAACCCCCCTGATGCCACCTTATGGAGGGATGGTGGGGGAAAAAACACTTTTGCGGAGTCTGGAAGCTCTGTGTTTTTTGCAGTCATTTAGGTTTGGGGAGGGGATGCTAAGAGGTCTTCTCCAGGGTAGTCATGAGTGTGCAAAGTGGCCTCCTTTGATACGGCCTGGCCCACAGGAGATAAACACCACACACCCAGAGAGTGCCACTGGTCTCCTTTAGATAAACATCACACACGCCTCAGAAAGCATCACACACCCAAGACTTCGCCCCTAGGGCTGACAAATCTAACAACCTGTGGGCTATGACCTCCTCCCTTCAGCCATATCTTCAATCCCCTGGCAGGTGGCTTGCACAGCTCCCTGCAGTAGCAATGTTTTGAGGCAATTGAAAGAGTCCAGTTGCTCACACTGAGGTCAACAAACCTCTTTAAATTGTTTGGATGCCGAGCGCTTGCTTCCAAGTAATTGGCATCTTTGGAAAGAGCTTCACCCTACTCTGGAACTGAGTTCCTTGCAGTCATAGTCATAAACAGTCTGGAGACTTAGACCTAGCAAATCAAGGGTTTATATTTTTAAAAAGGAACCTATTGAAATTCAAAGGGCTGCCTCATAAGTGTTTGGCTTATGACAGCAATATATAAATGTACTAAGGATAATATACAAGTTCATTACAGGCGATTTTTAGCATGCAATGGAATGGTCTTGGAAGAACTGGGAAAAAAGTTTTAAATAGATTTGTGCAAAGTGTACTGCTTATACTTGGGGAATTGTGGGAAGAACTGACTTTTTTTTTTTTTTTTTAATACAGTGTTTTGGTGGGTCCCAAACAGTGACAAACATCTTATTGGAAAACAAAGAGTTTTTGACTGGTGAATGAGAATTTTCATTTTGTGGCCAGCTATAATATCAAGATTTTTGTTGAGCTCATGTTTTGTCACTTGCAATCATCTAAAGCAGAATGCAGTTATTTCACTGCAGCCAAATAACTAAAGAAAAAACGCTATCAGAGACTACTCTTAATGTTGGTGAGGCAAGTTGCTGCAAGAGTTAACTTGAATTTTTCTTTCCTAAGAAGTTTTTTTTTACTGTACTTTTATTGTATGGCTCTTTTTACAGTATGCTTTTTAAATATGAAAATAGCCTATCAGATAAAGTAATTGCAAAAAGTATTTTCTAAAACAGTTTTAAACTGCATTTGCATTGTAGCAAAAGAGGTGTACTGCATTACAGTGAAAGATATACTATAAATTACACATATTTTCATTATTTTGGCTTCCTGTTTAATGTTCTTAATCATATTTTTGCCTCATCTGCAAAGTCTCATCACACAGTATTTTTGCTTGTCAGGAGATTTCTGTGTTATAGGTTTTCTGCCAGAAAGGTGAGATTGTCATTTAGATGTTGTTCTTGAATTTGTTCTGGTTTTCTTTATTGTACCCAGTTCCTGTATTCTTGAATTCTAGTTTCTTGTAAAGTTATTTAGGTTTTCATGAAATTTCAATAAAACCTTATGTGAGACACAATCCATTTTTTAATAGGAATATGAGTGTTGTGAATTCTCATACTGCTTTTGTGTTACATTCTTTGTCCCTGCAGGTTTTAACATATTTGCTTCATGGAGAGAAAGCACACAGAAAATTATCTTGCAGTGTCAGCTAAAAGTACTTCTTTTGTTCTATATCTTTCTGTCTTTGTATTCAGATAAGCCTTATTAGTTCAGAGACATTTAGTTTATGTGGATTAATAAAGTTCAGGAAAGGAATTTTCAAATGAATCTTGAAAGCAAGTCAGAGTATGAATCAGACTTACTTAGATATAGAGAATGTTCTGAAAAGAAACATTACCTTATGTTGATGATAATCAGATGTATGTTGTCCTCCAGCTTATTACAGCATTTTGCAGTTAGTGTTCTATAAAAAAAAATTATAAAACTTGATTATCTTGTTTTTACAAACAAAGCAATAAGAACATTCTAATGTCTTGATATTTTCCAGTGAGATTTTGCTTTGTTGGTGGGATAAAAGGTTGTTGGGCAGCTGTAGCAATACAGAATAGACTAAACTTGTATTCCACTACAACATCTGCTTATAAATTTGTGTGGATTGAGTTGCAGGAGGAATTTTAAAAACAAACAAAAATACAGAAAAATTTACCCCCAGCCTATTTAGACTCCTTGATGGTAAATAACAATAAAATATCTCTCTTCAGTCTATCCAGAATTTTTCCTTACAATTATATTTGTTTTATTTTATAATTCAAGTCAGGTGATTTAAGTAGTTATAATTTGAATAAATTCTTATGCAACAAAATAATTTTTTTTCCTATAAAATCCCAACAAAAATAAACTTTGTGGAACGCAGGCCAGAACTGGGTTTCATGGAATCTAAAAGCCTTAGGTATATTCACAGAATGAGCACAGAAATATCTATCATATCTATCATATCTATCATATCTATCCCATGAGGTGTTTTGCTTCTGGTCAACTCCCCTTCGGGGTTATATGCTATACCTTTGCACAGACTTATTAGCAAAGTGACACAGCAAAGCTTCCAGTCAGGAGTTGTGCAAAACCAGCTGTGAGATGGGGCAGGCCCCTAAACATGCATATGAAAGTCCAGGCCCTAAAATTTAGGTAGGAATTGCTACGTGACTGAGAAATATGATTACAGATTAAAATTCAGATGCCTTTCAAATGCAAAGTGAAATACATCAGAAGGAATAATTTGAACCATTCTTGCACGCTAGCAGGTCCTGAACTAACAGGGGAAAAAAACCAAGTACCAATGTGAGCAACTGAAAGAAAATTTCTGTTCAACATCCATCATTTGTCAAAAACCAAGGTGAAGAATATTCATGAAGAATACAAAGGGAAATGTGATGTTCAACAGACATAAGACTGTATATCTTACAATGTCAGCAAGAAAACAGTACATTGTACTACTACTCTGTAGTGTTTGCTCAACACTGTAATAAAGATAGCATATGTTTACTGGTACTTTTCCACTGAGAAATTAGACCAGCTAAGCTTAAAAGTTGTGTGGAATACTGATTTTTTTTGTTTTGTTTTGTTTAGTTTTCCCTATTAGGAATATCGTTCACTCAAAGCATGAAGAAATTAATGTTTGTTTTTTTCTGATGCACAGAACCTGAAGCGTGTGGCAGAGACATGGATGGATGAGTTTGCAGAGTACATTTACCAGCGACGGCCTGAGTACAGACATCTCTCAACTGGTGATATCTCTGCCCAGAAAGAGCTGCGCAAGCACCTGAAGTGTAAAGATTTCAAGTGGTTCATGGCTGCAGTGGCTTGGGATGTCCCAAAATATTACCCTCCTGTGGAACCTCCACCTGCTGCCTGGGGGGAGGTGAGTCATACACAAATTAGATAAAATTTAAATGAGTCTAACATTTTAGATCGTGGGAAATGAAAGTTATTAATTCAGACTTAATCCAGTGGTAAGTAGTGTTATTACAGCAGTTCACAGTGGTTGGAACAAACCCTGACCTACCCATTAAAATTAAAAACTTTCATGTCTTAGAACTATCACTGTCCCTTTTATAATTCATTACAATTTTGTGCGTACAGAGCATAAGATGTATGCACAATGAGGAAAAAAATGAGGAAAAGAGTATGTAGTACTCATTGTTGCATGTCAGAGGAAGATTTTAGGTTCAGAGAATCAACTTAGTAAAAAGGAGATCCGAAGTCAATGCTTGTGGCTTTTTGCCTGTCTATCCATATACCTCCTCCTGTGTTTACAAGGATAATTGTATGCAGGTGCAGGTTTGCTCTGTTTTGCTCACATGTGCAAGTGTGGCAAGTGAGGCCTGGGTACTTTCCTTTTTAAAAGACAGATTTTGCTTAGCTGTTGTCTGCATTCTGTTGGTGCTGTCGTGACTGAGTACCAGTAGCAGACAAATGCAGTTTCTCCTTTGTTGATGGATAAGAGGAGGGAGAGACCACTAAAGAGAGGCCAGTATTGGAGCATCGCTCCAGAGCAGGGGGTGAGCAAACAGCTGGCTGGAACCCTCAACCTGTGATCAAAGATATTCTGCATTCAGACCTCTCCAAAGAGCAGAGCTGTAGCACACCTTGCTTTGAAAGTTTGTGTTGTGCAGAAGAAGAGTGCAGGAACAGGAAATTACTTCCTTAGCTGCACTGAAAAATTGCTGTGGCCTTTGCTCCCAGAAACTGCGGTGGCTTCATGCCAGGGGAAGGTGGCATGCAGAGGGCTTTTTCCTCTCAGATCATTAAGATCCATAAAGAAGGCTTTGCTCTTTCAGTGTATTGTGCTACCTTTTTAAAAACCACAGTTATCTGTACTGCAAGTTCTAGCCGTCTCTGATTTTGCTGGAGATGTTCTTAGGGCTCTCAGACAATTATCTTCCATATTTTAAACCAAAGGATGAAGTTGAAATTTTAACTAAAACATTTGGTAAGACCAGATGCACCCCTGCATATTCCCAGTGGTCAAGACTGGACCATAGACTCCTAAACGTAGGTGCATCTATTATTCTCCATAACTTCCTTTTAAAAAAGCAAATTACGCCATATTGAGATTTTTAAAATAACTTTCTGTGGTAGTAGCAGTCCTTAATTTTTCTTTATAAATAATCAGTTACAGATGTTCAAAAGAACTTCAATTTATATGTGTCTAATTGTTTGCTACTTCTTGGCAGTAATGAATTCCTTTGTTGTTAAAGTTTCTTCTATCTTTGATGCTGCTGTCCACACTTTATGAGTTTAATGTGTACCAGGAAGTAAGGAGTTTATCAGTAGAAGTCAGGCTGGATCAGGTTGCTGTGCCTGCTACCGTGATCTTCCTATACCATCTTCTACATGTGTCCTTGGAGGACTGTGATCATGAAATGTGTAAATTCTTTTGCCAGCTGGACAATCCTTAATCAATAGAGTCTAAGAGGAGGAGATTATGATTCAGATATTCATTCTTTCCACAGCAATATTAATATAATCTTTGCATAAAAACAAGTATTTTTAAAAGTAAATCGAAGTTCATAGCAGTGATATCAAATCTGTACTTTAAAAGTGCTTATTAAGCTCTTAGGAAGGATGTGAAGACCAAAGACTCTTTTTTCTCTGAAATTTGCTTTCTCTACAGAACAATAAGACAAGTTTTAGCCCTACTGCTCTTTTCTCCTGAGACTGTCACTTTCCTGTGCAGTTTTAATTAATTTGTTGGCACTTGCAAGGAACTTGAAAAAACTTGAAGGTTAATGGCTGTCAAAAGCTGAAAGAGGGAAACAGACTGTAATGTTACTGCTTTGTAAGAGTGAAGCAGCTCTAGAAAACTTGCTGATTATACACGCCAAAATTCTGTGCCCAGACTGACTGTCATTTAGTACCCTCTCTGCTTCCATTTGGAAATACTCTACATCTGCCAGTCTGAGAAAGGGTAAACAATGAGGTACTCAGACAATTTTGGCTCCAGTATTTTGATACTTAGCAAGTACAAGCATGTGGTGTGAAAGCAGACGTCTCATAGACAGCCTCTGCTCCACTCCTCTTTTTTTGCAAACGCATTTGTTTAAAATCTGACTCATACATTTCTTGACAAAATCTGTTTATGATGGAAAAGAAGGACGTTTGGAAAACAAAAAGCAATCGTTCTTGCTATTCTTGTCATGGCCTTATCTCTTCTGTGTGTTTGTGCCTTTTGTCCTTTGTACCTGGCAGGGTGTACGTTCCCTTGATACTCTGCTCTGCCTTGTAACATTTGAAATATGTGCAGGAAAGCAATGTAACAGTGAATCCAGACAGATTAAGGTTAGTGAGACTGTCAGTTCTGTGTTTGAGTGAGGTAATTGTACTGTTTCCCACTATGGAAAAAAAGGAAAGTTTTCAATTATGTTTTATTCTTATCCTTTTGAATATATTGGGAAGTATGCTACCAGTTGAAAAACAGTAATACCCATCCCATTGTCTAAGACAGAATAATTTATTTGTACTGTGTATTTGAAATCCTAATGAAGTTGAAACAATGGGTGAGAATTAAACACCAAGTGTTTTCTTAGGAAGTACTAATGAATCTACAACCTGTGATCCAACATGAATATATTGTGCAGATATTACAGCTTTCAGTGTCTTTAAAAACACATTTTACAGGAAATCAATTATATCTCAGACATTGTCATTTATTTTAGATTTCATGAGTCCTATAGTCAAAGTGATATGAAATATCAAGTTATTTAAGCTTGGCTTCATTTGCTGTTACATAAACTTACTATTCAGTGATTTAATGAGGAAGTGTCTCAGTCACAGCAGTGCTAAGCTACAGGACCTGAAGGTACTCTTTTCTCGGTCCCAAGCTCGTGGATTTTACAGAACAGTTTTACAGTGCTGACATGAAAATGTCCCCTATGAAGTTAAGCCAAGTAGCACCTTTGAAAAAAGATGAAAGCCTAAGAACTCACTAACTTCTGTTTCTATTACTTTCTTTTTTTTTTTAAAGTGTGATATTCTCATACCCTTAATGAGTCAATCTCAGCCTACCAAGTGTCACACATCTTTTGAACAAAAGTGATATAACCCCACCCTGTACAGATCAAGTGCTGCACAGCTGGACTGTTCAAATTCTTTCATCAGGATCAGTGTCACACTGAATAAGAGTCCCCTTTTTCTTCAGTGAGGTCTTTGGCAGTGCTTGACTTTCTTTACCTTTGACTTTTCCTTTTTTATGGCTAACACAAAGGATAAATACTCTAAAATTACTATGTATCAGTTGACAAGAGAGGCTCATTCTTCTATATTTGATCCATTGATGTTGATGGCCCTAGGGTTATCTGAGAATGTACATTAAAACTGGCTCCAAGAGCTGCTCAAACCAAAAAAAAAAAAAAAAAAAAAAAAAAAAAAAAAAAAAAAAAAAAAAAAAAAAAAAAAAAAAAAAAAAAAAAAAAAAAAAAAAAAAAAGTAACATAAATGAACATTGATAATGTCTTCTAAGAGCTACAGCCACTTTCTTATTTAAGGGATTAAATCAGATGTATGGAAAGTATTATATAAACTGATACCATCAAGGTGCCTCTCTTGTTGCTGTATTGGAGCACCCTAGGGATTGTCCCAGCACCATCTCCACACTCATCATTCACAGATGACCATACTGAAGACAGAGTTGTCTTTAGATTGCTACACTTTCCCACTTTTTGCTTTTGGCAGGCAGTTTAATGTTTTGATGGGCATGTAGGGTAGCTTCCAGAACCCCTGGGAGTGCCTCTCCCTGTCCGGCTCACTCCTCTCTGACCCCAGGAAGGCTGAACTGTATCTGGGTGATATACTTGTGATACATCTGGTGCAGGCAGAGCCAGGGCATCACCTACTACCTTAACAGCAAGTCTTGAAGGAACTCATTTGCCCATGAACAAAGTTGTAGAGTTTTAGAATTATCAAAGAATATTGGTCAGTATAACTGCTAGCCCCTGGAAAGCTGGATTCTCTCTGCTTCTACTCTTCATCTGTTCTCTGTAAGGGCTACAGTGCTCATGGTCTTAATACCTATGTCCCAAAATGAGTTAAGATGCCATTTCAAGAACAAAATATATTTAAGGACTTACAAATAGTGTCCTGTGCTTTTCTCAGAATGTGTTTAATTATGCGTTTATCTGTGTGTACAATTCATGGCATTTAAGGTTGAGCAAATGAGCTCTGTATGTAGCAACTCAATGCCCTACCTGCATGGCTGATAAAATCTGTCTCCTGCTCATCCCCAGCCTCTACAATTGCACAAATATGAGTGTTGGAAATGTAAGTATTAGGGTCACTAGCTATTTGTTTGCTAGTTGTAATTCATAACCTCAAAACCCCTCAATCCATTGTGCTGTGTGACTGGAGACAAGGCAGTTCCAATTCATATTGGTGCATACATAAGAAAAAAGCATCTGAGCTTCTGCTTTCCTTCCTTTGTTCGTGGAAACATCTTAGGGGATTTGCAGGCTGTGTGGTGCTGATGCTTGGCAGAATGTTCCCAGTGGCTCTGGCTCTGGCTTGATGGCTCGGTTCAGTTTCTAGCAAGTGCCAAGGCCACACAGAAGCACCAGAGAACAAAAGCACAGACTTGACTGAAATGCCTGTATTACAAAAAGAAAACAAAAAAACAAACAGCGACCCCTCTGCAGCTGAAAGGATGAAACATAAAAAGGATGAGCTAACACATAAGCTGCAACAAAACAGAGGAAAAGCTAACTCCAGCAAACCTTTCAGGAGCGGGGGGAAGAGGAGAGGAAATAAAGAACTTGAGATGGATTCCAGCAGTGAAGGAACTAAATGTAGCTTCAGCTCAAGCCTCTTCCAGAAATGGACTGAACACATCTATGCACAGTCCAAATGACTGACAGTGGGATGGAGTGATGCTATCAAGACAAAATTATGAAAGCCCTTTAATCCAATAAGTATTCACTGGACATGGAGTGTATTCACCGTCATTTTACAATACTGAATTGCATAAATATACCCCAATTACTAATGGCAATTGTTAGCAGCTCCATTTTAATTAACTTGCTTGCTCTAAGAATAGACCTGATGTATCATTTTATTTTCTATTAGACCAGAAATCTTTATCTGTACAATGGAAATTTAAGTACATTGAGAAATGATTGAACATTCTCAAAAAAAATTTTACTTGGAGTAGGTATTTCGCATGAAACCTTAACAATATTGTATTAAAATCTATGCCACTCATTATTCTTTCCTGCCTCTTTTTCTGGGTGATATGAAAAGGAAGGCAGTGTTGTTGAGAACTAATTACCTTTCATCTTTTTTACCATGGGGCTTCTCAGTTCTGGGTTTCTGCATCTGATTGTGTGAATGAACTGTTAGCATTTTACCTCATCTTTAGCAATTTTTATTGTATTAAAAAAAGAAAAAATATCCTAGAACTGGGTTTGTCCAAGTTTTAGAAGAATGCTTCTTTGAGCTCTGGTGAAGGATCAAAGGTCCTTGTAGTCAGTTGCTCAAACTGATGCTCCTTCCTCTTTCCCCAGTCTGCTCTTTTCTAGGCTGAACAAAACTTTTAAAACCTTTCCTGAAGTTGATGGTTTTTACATTTTTTCCAATACTTGTTGATTTCCCATCTGTCTAAATCTTTCTTGGTCATGGTGAATAGACTCTATCCCACTCCTCCAGAGTCAGAAAAAGAGCAGAGTAGATCTGGCCTGTGTCTTTTGTGCATGAGGATTTCCCCTCCTCGCAGTGGTTTGTGCTATGCTGGCAAGTTTTCCTTTGGATGTGAATGAGGTATGCAGTGACAATACTTACATTTGTCTAGCATATTATGGCAACAATAGTGACTTTAAAGTATTTTTCATGAAAAAAAACCACAAAAACCAACTCAACTGTATCTCCATTCAGCATCTAGCTTCTTTTAAAAAATAAGGATCAAAGTAGTGTCCAGAATGTCAAAATATGCACCTGCTTTCTATATATTATACTTACGGAATTTGTGCATGTCTGCATGCATGTACATTCATTTTGATCACTCAATTTCTGTTTATTTCATTGACCGGCAAGTTTTTTTAAGAAATCCTTTTCATTATGGAGATGTGTAAGGGATTTTTAACTGGACCAACTAAGGTACTCAGGGAGAAATATGCATGTATTTGCAAAATAAATCAAGGATTCTGTTCTTTTTGGTGGCAGTGGACAACCTACTCCTTTTCAAACCAGTGTTTCAAAGAAAATATACATGGCTGCAGTGGTACATAACTGGTATGATTGATAGTCACAGATTAATTATTACTCAGTTGCTTCAGTCTCAGGAATGAGATTTTCCTTTTAAGAATAAGTTACACAGCAGTGTTTGCAGCAGGCATGCAGAAGGAACCTCCATGGCTAAGCATAAGTTCCAGTACAGATTTGTTAAGTACTTTTTAATTTTATGCACTTCAGGCACTAATGTGTGACCTTATCTGCAGTGATGTCATTGTGTCAAAGTAAGAACAAGAACTGGAACAGGGTGTGCCCAGGTTTTTAATGCATAGTGCTCCAAAGCCTGGGAGAGACTCATACAGAAATCAGTTCGTTCTAATGCAGTTCTCCCTCTTGCTCTTGCAGGATGGAAGAAGCAGTCAGACCAAGCTTTGAATTACTCAGACCTTTTTTCTCTTAGTTTTTTTGTATGAAGACATTTCTTAAGACCCACCTTTCATTTGTTAAGCAGCATATTTCAAACGTTGCTGCTTCCGAAGCTGCATCTAAAAAGAGTAGTTCATTCCAGAACATGGCTTTCTATCCTGTAAAAATAACTCCTACCAGTTTTATGTAACTAATAGTCAGTCTCAAGCCCTTCAGAGTTAAACTCCTAACCCCCTTATGTTGGAAGCTCTATTCTGCAGCCTGGTTTAATGTGAAATGTTGCTGCTTGGTTTTGCAGATTCGAAACGTGGCAGCCAACCTCTGTGTGGACAGTAAACACGGAGCCACGGGGACTGAGCTGAGGCTAGACATTTGTGTGAAGGATGGCTCCGAGCGAACGTGGTCACATGAACAGGTATTTTAACAGCAGAAAGAAAATCAGAGTAAAATTGTTGCTTCCCTTTTCCAGTCTGTAAACATTCCTCTGAGCGCTTCTCCCTTTCCTAAGGCAAAACAAAGTGTAGAAATAATTTGTGCATTGTTACTGACCTTAATGGCTTTAATGGCTTTTACAAAGTACTCCTTAACCTCAGAAATTCCAGCTGCCACTTGAGCTGTGTATTAGTCTTAATTTCCAAAAGGAATTACAATGCGCCAAGAGCTTTTTGATGCCCCATTCTCCCCCACTGTGTCATGAAAACATGTAGATTTTGGTTCAGTTACCTGAAAATATTTTTAATGTAGTACCTGGGCTTGTAAAGCTCTAGTATTTGTCTGCTTTTATGCTTTCATCTCAATAAGCTCAATAAGTGGTTCTATTTTAAATAAATGTGAGGTGTAACCGAGGTAAATAGAGAAAAGCAAGGGGAAAAGCATTTCAGAACGACAAGGAATTATAAAGACTCAAAAAAAGCTTTTATCTAGGTTGGTTGGGTAGAAAAATATCATCTCTCACAAGTACAGAGGAAAAGAGCTCTGATTTGTACTCACTGGGAGTGCCACAGCAAATGACCCACAGGCTGTGGGTCTGGCCAATATGAGCAAAGACAATCTAGATGGAGAGCACAACCTAACCATTTATTAGCAGTTTTAGTGAGTGTGCCTTTCACGGCAAAAGGTCCCAGATTAGAAAAAATATGCTGAAGAGAAAAATTGACCTGGCAGTTACACATGGCACTTTGTAAAAACTTAAAGGCTCAGGAGAGAGGAGTTCTGAGGGGTATTTGAAGTGCTGAGGTCAAGAAACCATTCTCTGAGGGTACTGAGAAATGCAGGGGGAGAGGTGCATGAAACGGAGAAGCTGAAGAATTATCACAATTTAGGTAAGTGCCAACATGGAAGGAAGTTGCTGAAAGAGGACTTCTTCAGATAGCTACCAAAGATACTGCACAGGGATAGGATGCCAAGACCTGGTAAATATAATCCTGGTTTTGTTTTATAAAAGGCATCCAGTAATTCAAGCAGTTAATTGAAGGAAGTTGTATTGTCCAGACTAGACCATCGCAGTGTTCTCTGAAAATCTGCAAACGTTAGAAGCTCCAAACCCTCCTCAGGAAGGGAGGGAGGGCGTCCTGAGGCTGCCAAAGATGAGAAAGGAGGGGAAAAAAATGAATATAAAGGTGAGACAAGAAAAAGAGTTAGCAGAGAAAAGAGAGACTTGAAATATCCTTTGAAAAGAGTAAGAGGTTGGGCAAAGGGGAAGGGACACAAAGGGAGAAGGATGCTAGGGAGGAACCCGTGTTTCAGCGTACTTCAGTGCCCTGAGAGGGAGGCGTGCGGGGCGGCGGGCGGGCGGCAGGGGGCAGCACTGGACAGCGCAACGCGCCGCATCCCCCTCCCGTTCCTCCCCGGCCGCTCACGGACCCGGCGGCGTCCCACGCCCAAAGCCATCCCTCCGCTTTGGATTCCTCTCGTTCCTCCCCGGGGAAGGGGGGGGGGGTGGGGGCGTTTTGTCAAAAGTCTTCCACTTGCGCCACAACAAGCTGTGAAGATGATCTGTGTTAGAAAGTGGGGATAACTGCCAAACTCCTGGCCAGCCTCAGAGAGCTGCTCTTTCGTCCTGCCGGAGTGTGTTGCCTGCGTGAGTTCTGCGTATGCATGTAGAAACTAACAGTATTAATGAAAACACCAAGTATTTTATTACCATATTTCAAATAGCATGGATTGACACTGAACTGGACTGGACTTGTAACTTCTGGTATAAATTTCCAGGGAGTTCAGTGGCAAGCTGTGGTAGTTTGATGTGACCAGTGCAACAGGCGTCAGTGCTGCTGCTGCACAGAGATGATCCTTTGCACCACTTGGTTCTGTCATCTTACCGGGGCAGGAATTGAAAGCTGACAGTCTCAGCCACTGTGCTGGGGGGCACAGCCATTTTGCAGACTCAAGGAGAGGAAGACAACCTTCCACCCCAGGGCTGCACAAACAGGCTGGGCAAACAGCAGTCAAAAGGTTTGTGGGGCACTTGCAGGCTTTCCGGTGAACATGAGATGGGTGGGAAGTGAGGGTGAATGTCACTGTGGTTCCTAGAAGCTTTCCCAAAATTAAGAACCATAGGGGAAGAAAAGGGGCAGGAGGATGTCAGGACACTGTATTCTTCCACCCCTGTATTTCCAGAGCTAACTTCTGGCTTTAGGGACAACTGGGGCTCTGCTGGACTGATAAACAATAGCAGAGGAAAATGACAAGCATCACTGTCTCTAGTCAAGTCCCCCAGCCTTACCAGGGAATAGATGGACAGGCACCATCTCCAACATAGCACAGCAAGTAGCCACGGAGCCTGCCCAGCTCTTTCTTGTCTGCTTGGAGGTATAATTCAAGTCAAAGTCCAGTCTGAAACACGATGTTTCATCTTTGCACGGGGTACATGCTGTCCTCTCAAGTCTAATGCTGTAGTCAGAGCACAATGCCAGCTGACGGACCCCAGCCAGACAGCGAGTAATTGAGCAATGTTGTCAGGCTGGAAAGTATTAATGGTATCAAAAGGGCCTTTGTCCAGTAGACAGTCCTAAGCCAGTGGCTGTATCAGGCAATCATTCTGCAGGCCCTGTGCCAATTATAAATGAAGCTGGAAAGCTGTATTTTCCCCAGTTACTGCATGACAGGGCTAGGCTACATGAAAAGGCAAAGCATAAGGGCTGAAAGGTTGCTTGATTGCAAATGCAGAGGATAGTGCTGCGTTTTACAGACTCAGGTATGAGAGAAGGCAAAGAAGGAGAATGAGCATCCACTGAGCCAGGACACAGGGTTTCTTGGGCCCAGGAGGGAGCAGTGAACAGCAACCCCAAGTGTTGCAGGTGAAGAATCAACCTGCTGTTTGTTAAGAATGTGCCTGGGAATTTAGGTGTGGCCTTATTTCAAATCAACAAGCAGTCAGAAATGAATGAAGTACAAAAAGAGTACAAAAGGGTTCAGCCATTTATTGTAAAATCTGGCACACTGGGTTCCTAACAAAGGAACAACAAAATCCAAAGTGACAAGTGGAGCATTATATACTCAGGGCTCCAGCTAATAACATGTAGCATTGTTGCACATTATGCAGTGGAGAGATAATATTTATATTGGCCAGTTAGTGTTAACTAGGGTTTAAAGTAGGGTATCTTAGAATTATGAGATTGGAAGAACTGTAGGCCTTCGTGTTTTGTCTGTAATTGCAAGGTCTTAATATCAGATGGGTGTATAGAGAAGTATAACCTTTTTTCTGATCTTTTCTCTTCTCTTTCTTAGTCCTAAAACTGAGTTCCTGTGCCTAACAAGACTGGTTTTATAATAGTATCAGTAGGGGGAAGACATACTTGTTGACTTAAAAATAAAGCTGTTTTAAAAAACAGAAGGCTAAAGAAGAAGGAAAAAGAATCTGTCCTAGTCTAAACATTGAGATCTAGTATTGCACAGATCCTGGTTTTCAGTGGAAGGGAATAAAAAACCCCATTGTGTTACCGAGTCTTGACTTGCAAACCGGACACAGCCCTGGCAGCCTTCAGAAACTACACAGGAGTGGAAAGAGCAAAAGGATAATCTAGATCAGGATGATCTGATTTAAAGGCTAGCTCGAGCTCTTTCATGTGTACAGATGCGTTCAGTGGGTAGTAGTCCTCAAGCCAAGGTCCAGAGAGCAGCAAGAATTGGCCCCTCAGCTCACCAGTCCTGCACAGAATGAGAAATTTGAAGAGCCACTTACTATGAAAGATGAGGATGGTCCTGCAATAGGATCCCTCTCTAGCTGTAGTGATGAGACTGAGAATATCGCAAAACTGCTGTTCCACACCATTCATCTAGGTAGTTGTCATTCCTCACTTTCAGCTCTAGGTTTATTACATGTCTGTAAAAAGGTAAAGGGTAAGATAAAGAAAATGGCTTCTGTTGTTTTTTTCTTAAAGGAAAATTGTCTCGGGCTTCTCTTTTTCTAAAGAAACAGCAGCATAGGTTTTTTGTGTACCAAATCTTAAGTTCTGTCCTTGCTTGTGAAATGATAAATTATTGTTGTAGGGAGTCCATGATGCTGCTTCAAAGAAACACGAAGAAAAGTGAAAAATAGATTTAACCTTTTGAAAAGCAGAAATTGCTTTGAAAATGAGGTTAAAGCTGTCCACTGCATTTTAGTGGGGATAAATGTAAAACGCACTCTGGGAGAAAGAAGAAATAAGCAGGACACAGGGGCAGATTAAGAAAACGCTCTCTAGGAAACCTATAATACAGAAGAAATTGGGAGTAACAGCAGTTCACAGAGAGAACAAGGGCTTACAATAAGAAATACAACAATATACAGCAGATATATGCTTGTATTTCAGGTCTGCAGGCCAAGAGAGGCAGTAACACCTCTCAGATGTGGTATTTAGATGATGTTACAGCACTGAAGATGCAGAGTTTTTAAAAGTTGTCTCTTTTAGGAAGTATATGGAAACAAGATAACTGTAGCAATGAAAGTGTTAAAACCTGGGAACTACCACAGAATTATTCAGGATCAGCCCCATGTGATATTAAGCTTCAATTTATAGCTGTTTCTATCAGGGAGTGTACACGCTGCAGGGAGCAGGATGCTAGGTGAGGACCAAAGAGACCCTGAGATGAGGTGCTGCAGGCAGTCTGGGCTCAGTATGGGGAGCTGCTTCTCCGGACAAAAAGCTTGCATGAACCATCTCAGCTAAACAGTTTCTACTTGCAAAGTTTGCTCATGTAAAGAGAGCTTCACTTTCTCAGTGTTACATTTCCGTTTCTTTTTCCTAGGGAGAACCAAAAGTCATGCAGAAAGCCAAAGAATAGCACTCACACAAAAGGAAGGGGGAAAAAAGAAAGAAAGAAAAGAAAAGAACCTCAGAGCTCTTGGCAGAGCTTCTAGGTAGTAATTTACAACCTGAAGCCTCTTTTCTGCAAGAATTGGTCCATGGGAAAGGAAAATTCACTCCACATCTTTAAACTTGATGCTGTCAGACCTGTCACATTCATCTGATGATTGAAAGACTGCAGTGTCACAGCATCACTTCAGACAGCTGGTGTCTAATTGAGAAGGATTCCTCTATTAACTGTGACCCTCCATGACTCCTCTCAGGCAGCGAGAAAACGGATTTTGACAAGCTGCCTGTAGCTCACAGGTTTCACAGTGGAAAGATGAAGATCATTTAACATGTGTTGTTTGGGGGGAAAAAAGACAGTTGAGAGGTTCTGGTGACAGTGTCCCATATAAACAGAAGGAAACTGTTCATTGAACATAGGGAAGATGCTATGATGGGAAGATCTCTCTAGGCAGCTTCTTCAAACCTGAACAAGAGCTAAAGGAACATCACTGGCAGAAGCTTTCTGAGTCTTAGGTAGCTGAAGTCCTAGAGCATATATGTGCTGCTTTAACTGGGGTAACTAAAGGCTTTAATAAAGCATATTCCCTCTCCTCTCCACAGTACTGTGTCACCAGAGATTTTTTCCTTCCCTGACATAGGGATTGTGCCTTCCTGGGGTGTATTCCACATCGCTGCTGATGCACTATAATTGAGGCAGTTGGCATCACTGAACTGTACAGAGGCAGGATCTTGTTTAACCAGCACCTAGAGTGTGTGAAAAGGGAATAATGCATCAAGTTTTTTGTGCTGTTTTAAATGTTTTTCACTATTAATATATCATTATATTGCCTGTCTGTTTTTCTAGCTCTTCACCTTTGGTTGGAGAGAAGACATCCGCCCTGGGGAGCCACTTCACACCAGGAAGTTCTGCTTCGATGCCATTTCGCACAGTAGCCCTGTCACACTGTATGATTGTCATGGGATGAAGGGAAACCAGCACTGGAGCTATAGGAAGGTCAGAGTCACTGTGGGGCATCTCAGAGGCTCAGACTGTCTTGAATGTATATTCGGTTTAGCACAGGCTTGTGTTTTCCCATCAGAGAAGTTTGTTTTAAAATCCACTCCATCCTTTTCCAATTTAATTTTGAGGTAATCTCTCTAGAATATGTTCCTTCCGTACACTCTGCTATTTAGGTCAAATTTAAATGAAAATGGACGTGATCCAGCTCAGAGGGTGTCTGTGTTGGATCTGTTCCCTGAAAGGTGTTTTACCATTCTGGCGCTTCAAGATACTTGTGTCATTTTAACAGAGGTACTGTTGGAAATATTTTCATCCAATGTGACAGCAGCAAGAAATGGTGCCCATGAGTTATATGTTACTATTTTACTTCATTTTCAAGATTACAAGTGGCAGAAAAATCTCCTTCAAAAAAACCCAACAAAAAAACCCAACAAAAAAAAACCCAATCCAACATTAAAAGCAGTGCTGTAAGCCCAAAGAAGGAAGGAGTTTATAAACTAAAGATAAGCAGCTTAGACACTACTTTGATCTGCTGAGTTTCAGCCCATTTTTATAAATCACTGGAAACAGGAGATCAAGCTAGAAACTGTCAGAGCCTCATTCATGGTAAAGTCCTGGTAATGCTATCAAGTTGTTGTTGTTGTTGTTGTTAGGTTTTTTTAATGGTTAATCAGCAAGTTGCCTTGATTACAAATTTTGCTAATAGGCTCTGTATTCCATTCAGGATAAGGATATACATTTCTCTGAAGCACTGAGGATTCCTCTCACAAATGTTTCAGTTTTCTTTGACCATTGTCCCTTGCCCTCCACCTTGCTTAAGCTGAGGGCAAGGTGCCAGGAACTGGTCTTTTCCAGATAAACCTCAATACTGCTTTCTAGTTTGAAAATATATATAGTAGAAAACTGATTCAGAACCATTAAAAACAGGTTTGCCCTGACCTTTTTTCTGAGTGTCTACTTATTACAGGTATTGTGCCTTTTTACCTTATTTATGTTGCAAATGGAGGTCCATCACAAGATTTTCCAGAGATGTAATCCCTTGAAAACTGAAGTATTACCTGTAAAAAAGTGAGAACGTATATGCCAGATATTTAGAGCAGATAAGCTGTGATGGCTGTATTACTGCCTCTCTGACATTATAATGCCATAATAATACCTTCTTGCTTCAAAACCCTTCTGATTTATCTTTTTGCCTCCCCAAGCTGCAAGAAAGAAGCTTTCATACATTTAGCACGTCACTGTTGTTTAATATATCCAGTCCATAAGACAAAATGTGGGTCTGGAGCGGCCTTCTATAAGGTTTATCACCTTTGATGAGGACAGAATACAGCAGATAACTAAAAAAGTTTACAGTTGAAAAAAATACATAGCCTGATTTCTATTAAATTCTCTGAACAGCTTCCTTTCTAATTTACAGAAGGCTCACAGGGCTCATATAAAAGTTCTCAATGCAAGACAGGCATTTCCATCTCAGCAAGAAACACCATAAAGTTTTGTTATGGTAGAAGTACTGGCAGAGTCTTAACTGTAATGTGAACCTTCAGTTTGCGTAAACCTTCAAATTAGGAAACTGCACTGGAATAATAGAAATATGTACACGTGGTTTTCTTTAGTCTTAGTTTCAGTTTGGCTACACCATAAGTAGTATTGTTTCCCATGGTCTATTTCCTCAGATACAGGGCAGATTTGTATTAGAGATTTTTGGTGGCACATCTATGCCTCCAAAATCCTAATGATATAATCCTTACTTAGTTTTGAAAGCATCTTGGCAATAGGATTTTTAGTGTTCTCCCCACAAACAAACAAACAAAAAACATACAATAAAGGATGGTATATTGTTTAACTGCATCTGTACTAGAGCCCTTTACCTAGAGGATGGTATGCTACTAAATCTGTACCCTAAATAAATAAGAATAATAGTCTGGTTAAGCAAGAAGCAAATAGAAGGTCAGCAACTCTTTTTTGTTCTCTTCACTGCTTACAGACACTGAAGCTTCCTAATGGTAACATACACATCCTGCCAATAATTCTCATGCTTTAGGAAAAATAACCCTGCTTGTCAGTGTCTTATAACATGCTTAATGTGAAGCATTTCTTACCATGTTGCCATAGTATTTCTATAAAACCAGAAAATAGGAGGGGTTTATTAGTTTAAAGATGAATCTTTTCTCATGAGCATTTGCATCCTTGAGCCAATGGTAAGAAGTAGTTCGGGCTGTGAAGTGATTACAAAGTGCTGCAAATGTAGATTGAATCCAGGCACCGATTTCAGATTCGGTATTCTTATAGCATAAAAACTGTAACAACCTGGTTTTGGATACTGGCAAATAAAACCAGCTTAAATATTTTAGTGGCAAATAGAATACCGTAATATTTTAGTTTAGGTAAGGAGTGCTCTTCTGGCAAAAATTTACAGCTTATACCCATTACGGGCACTTTGCTTCTCATTGCAGTGCATTTGCAGAGTGTTTAAACCACATTCTTTTCAGATGAATGCAACCCAAACTACCACTCATAAAGATGTGTCAAAAAACTGTTCTTATTCCCATACTGTTTGAACCACATCTGAGTAGCTATTTGAAAGTCTAGTAAGTCTGCGATATTAAGTAATCAATTTTCTTAGGACCAATCCCAAATTCTGGTCTACAGCCAAGCATACCTTTAAGAAAAGCCTGTAAGAAGAATAAAGCCAAGTAGTACTGCAAACATTGCTATGGGTTGTAAGTAGAAGAATAGAATTTAAAACCAGGAAAAAAAATATTGACACCATATTGGGCAATGTAAGAAATCAGGTAGATAAATGTAAGTAACCTGTAATTATTAGAGATTTGGGAGAATGGCTTTAGCTTCCCAAGCCTAAAGCCTTTTCGCTGAATCTGAGATTCCTAAGCATGCCGAGCCAATGATCATCAGTGCCTACAAATTTCTGTTCCTCACAATGAAGGAGTTTGCCTCTGGTTTTCAATGTAGCATCATTCTGGGCTGACTGGTAATACATTTGTTCTGATAAAGTGTGATTCAGTTTATGTGCCGTAGGCCCGCTAGTGCTATTTGTAGAGCACAGGTATCCAAGAGAGGACTGATTTAGTAGGTCTTTAAAAAGGAACAATTGTGCAAAATCAATTACACGATAGTTTTACCCTGAGTCTAATGCTTATGATAGGTGTTAAACTGACAGTGTCAAAAACTGTGCCCAGAAGACAGTGGTTTGCTCACAGTCTCCTGACAGCTTTAGGGACAAACTGTGAGTTCACTCTTCACACAGTGGGTGCTTAGATTATTTCCTCAGACAACGAGAGACATGTCATTGTGATAGTGGCTTTTCTAACATGGGCATCTGTCCTGCTGAAACTGCACTGGGGCTACCAACTAATTTCAGATAAACTACTGCAGCCACCAACTGATAATGACTTCCAGTTGCTCTTGACATTGGCTATAGTTATAGCAGTGACCTAGAAGAAATAAAAAAGGCTCTGTGTCTCATTACCAACCCCCTGAACTGTCAAGACCCATTATCTTATGGAGGAGTTCCTCCTTCTGCAAATAATCTTCAGGCTTGCCATCATGCAGAAGGAAAAAAAAAATCCTCTGTTGTTTTCAGATGTCAGAAATGTCTCCACAGTAGCGCTTGTGATTTCTCAATATTGGTGTAAAGAGGAATTTATGTATTTCTCTTGTAAAGTTCTTTGCTGGGGTGCGCACAACTGTTACCCCTTAAAGTCCTGAGCCTGTTTCTGTAAGAGCAGTAGGCTTTGACCTTAGGTCAGCATAAGCTTGAGATTATAAATTAATAGGCCTTTATATATAGCTAAGTCAGCCAGAAGTTTTTCCAGAGTGGTAACTATGTCTCTATTCTTAAAAGACAGTCTTCTCTCCTAATAACCAGACTCTGAAAGAAAGCACCAACAATACTTCACTCAAAAATTGCATCCCTGGGATATTTCTGTGAGAAGAAAAACTGCCAGCTTTCTGGAAAGGCTGGAGTGTTTTTCATAGCAAGCTTTTTGTGCTGAAGCTGTTTCCTTTCTTCTTGTACCAGCTATCTAATTAAAGCTTCTAGTATTCCAGCTTTGGCCTCCTAATAGCTTGGCTGACCTTCATGCCCAGCTATAATGCAAGGAAAACCAGATGCCCCCCTTCCCCCAAGGCCCCACATCAGGGCAGGTGGCCATGGCACAGTCACTGTGTCCTGATTTTGGGCAGTGCCACTCCATCAACGTCTTACTTGAAAGACAGGGGAATCTAGCGTGGTGCAGATGGGTGTCTGCACCACCCCATAGGGTGCTTGGGAGTTCTTGCAGGCCCACCTCCTAGTAGGGACACAATAGTCCTTGGGATACATTACAGTTACCCCCTTCTTGCAAGCTGAAGTGTTCTCCCTGCTCGCTTTGTAGAACATGAGGGAAAGGCCTCTACTCATTTGATTTAGTCCTGTCAGCTGTGATGGTTGGTATCCCTCTGAATTACAGAGTTGGGTGTGGGTGTGTGGGTCTGTGTGTTCACCCACTGTTTTCGGGGAAGGGCAGATGCTGGAAGTAAAAAGCAGTGTTTGTGAAAGGCAGATGTAACACCATCACCCGCAGCAAGATGCTTTTACCTTTGTTCTTTCTTGCATATATTAATTTTTAAAAGAGGCATTGTACTTTACCAGAGTTTCACAACCCCCAAAATCAATCAATTTCATCTTTCTTAAATTAAAAAAAAAAAAATCACCTTTCTTTTTCAAAATGGTTTTAAATAGCGGCTATTTCTTTTTGTCTTCGTACTTTTTTTTTTTTTTTTTTTTTTTTTTTTTTTGTAACGTGGGGTATTTGTAGTTCAAGAGAAGCTTCCGTGATTGTTGCTCAGCACCCACAGCAGTTGTGTGAGTTTTTAATCAATTTCAATTTGACAAGTAGATCTTTTTTTCCCTCTCACAAACCGGGCAAGCAGGCACATCCTGGATTAGGATTAAAATACTAAGCAGGGCATGTTTGGTGTGGAGGGGAAAAGCCTGGATGTGGTTTATCAAGAGTAATCTGAAATTTATTTCGACAGATGCAGTATAGTCCCTGGAAACTTACGAACCATTTAATCACTCCCGCATCTGTCTCTCTCCAAACACTTGCTATATGAACTAAGTATGTTGAAACTACCCAACTCACACTTACCAGCTGCTCAACTGAGTAGTTGATGCTTTAACAAAGATTCACAGTCAGGTTACTTAATATTCACTCTCATTTTATTAAGTAAAATTAATAAAATTAATAATCATACTTTTAAAAGCAACTTAATCCATGCTTACCCTCCCAAAATCTCCATATGGAGCTAAATCAGTATTAGCATTTCCATCTTATTAGGAGAGAGGACATATTTCAGTGGCTGGTCTTATCAAGACCAAGTCTGCTTTGCGTGGGGTGAGAACTGAGAACATCATTCCTGTGTCCACCTGTCCACCACTTCAAATAATAATTAATTTTTAATGTCTTCACCAAATTGAAGATTGTTACAGCTTCTCGTGTCCAGAAACATGAAACTGTCAAGAATAAATCCAAAAAAAAAAAAAAAAAAAAAAAATCACTTCAGACATTTAAATGGCCTCCAGGCAAATACATGATATGGAAAGATATTAAAAGACATTCTATTTTTTCATTATATTATGTAGTTGTTAGTGGAAGACCAGATGATGTCACCTTCTTTCTTGAATCCCTAGTTTTATGAAGGATAATAGCCCAAGGGAAGAAAACACTCCATTCTCTACAGCTTCCTAATAATAGCTGTGGTTATTACACAGGGTTAGCGCACAGAGACCACAAAATCATTTCATATATAGGGCTGTGTTAATCCATGTTCTGTAAAATGAGAATACTTCCAATGATTTGGCATTTGCTACCTAATTCTGGTTTTTTTCATTCCTCTAGGATAAAACTTTGTTCCATCCGGTAAGCAGCAGCTGCATAGATTGCAACCCAGCTGAGAAGAAGATTTTCATGAACAGATGTGATCCTTTATCTGAAACTCAACAGTGGATTTTTGAACATATTAATATGACTGTTTTAGAAAAATTTAACAGCAAGGCCAGTTCCTAGAAAGAAAAAAAAAAAAAAAAGAAAAAAGAAAAAATGAACACACCTATTTACGTACAGACTGCAGACTACGTTTTCGCCAGCATCTGGGTCAGAGGAGTCAGGAATTAAGTTTCCTAGATCCAGGAAATCTGTTCTGAGGATTAAGAAAATGCCACAGCAAGAGCCAGCAGGCTGTCCTTGTGGATGTACAGTATCTGGAGAACTTGGCCAAGAGCCTCACCGGATGCTGCTGAGAACTTCAGGCTGAAAATTCCCTTGCTGGTCAAGGGAAAAACTTTGTTTAAAAACTGTTTAAAAGTACTCCAAGTTAATAAAGTAAAACAAAACTCTAGTTTCTCAGGTCAAATCCTGCTGTAGTGAATAGCTCAGAACAGGCGCTATAATTTGGGATGGGTATATGATGTGCATGACAGCTACAGGAACCTGAAGAAATCCCAGGTTTTAGAACTAAACATGCTGGTAGAAGAATAATGATGTCCCAGCACTCCCTAAACAAGATATATGCTCTGTTGATATTATCTTAATAAAAAGTTGGGTTAAGCAGGTTTAACCCTCAGAACTGCTGCAATTAATTTTAAATACCTCCCTTTTACATTCCATTCATTACCAAACTAGGAATGGTAGAAATTTTAGGGTCTAGAATTACACTGTAGTGAAGCATGGAATAAACTGTAAGGTTTTGCTCTCATATTTTCCCCTTCAGGAAAAAAAAAGTAAAGCAATCAAATCTCTATACATGATATATTTAGCCATTGTGATTCAAATCCCATTGTCACATAGAGTGAGGGTTTTTTTTTTAGTGACAAATATAACAGCAGCAGCTGCGGCATAGTGGAAGGCTCGTGGACTACCTATCTTTTCTAAAGGTAGAATCCTTACCAATATATAAATTAAATTGAAAATAGACTGGGGAAAAAAAAACAGGAGAGTTGGAAATAATTGCATACTGCATGCTGAACTAGATTAGTCAAATTAACATCGGTGTGCTGCCATCACCTAAAAGTATGTTGACTCCCTGCAGTGCAGCTTGAAAGATCTTGCAGTGCTCTTGACAGATAGGAATGGAGAGAAAAATTGACACAAAATCAGTTGGGTGGTTTCAGAGGCTTTGAAACCTGTGATGGAAATCAAGTGAACTTTGCAGAGTTAGCAATTCAGTGGTATTGTAGATGTCATGAGGGAGCAAAAAAGGAGTGCAAATAAGTTAAATGTTACAATATTTTGGTACTTTAGGCACAGGCACAACTCACAGTAACAACAGGCTTCCGTCACCCGGATGATTATAGTGTCTCTCAGACCCATCAAGCCTTTGCAGTGAGAGGCCTCTAAAACTTCTTTGGGAGGGTGTCTGTGGTTCTCCTCAGTTAATACTGATGTGTGGAACGTGACTGATAGCTTTGAGATTGTTCAAGGTAAGAGCAAGTATAAATTTATATAAAATATATGGCCTGCTTTTCCTTGAAAGATGAATTCACAGATGAAAGCACCATAAGTGCAGATAGATCACATCCTCTGTGCTATAAGTCCTTTCAGGTTCCAAATATAACATTTGTACTTAAGTTGCTTATTCTGATTGCTGAAGAGGTGGCCAACTAACTAAAATACTGATGTGCAATCTACACTGTTTTGAGGGAGAGGAGTGACTGGTTTGTATTTCTCATTAAGCTGTGTTTATGCACAAGAGCATTGATTGCATCCAGAGGATGGTCCTAGTACCAATAACAATATGCTATTTTATGGCAGCACCTTGTAGTTGCAGGTCATAGGAAATTGTTAGGAGGGAAATGAGATCCTGTAGCATTCAGGATGCATGCACTTGGAAAATTGTGAAATGCATCCATATATTTAGCAATTGCTGCAAGTTAGGGAAGAGATCTTTCAAATAATTTGAAAGAAATGTATCTACAGAGATAGACTTCTCATTTTATGATTTTAAAATAAGTGAGATTGTTCAAGTATTGTTTAAATTTGATTTGAAGATATGAGACTTGGGAACAGAAGCAGTAATGCTATGGTATGCAGATACTTCAGATTTGTTTAGCCATCAGTACACAGAAGAAGTCTAGCCAATGCAAACTGTCAGCCTTTCCAGGTGGGGTGCTCACAGCAGCATTTATTTGCAGCTTGAACATGAGGAAAGACGGTTTGGAAAAGGAAGAAAACAGCTGCCTCAAATGTAAATGCAGCCCTCAAGCTGCTTATTGTAGCTGGCCCCAAACTGTCAAAGTCCTGGAAGAAACACTGTATGCCCGAAATAGAGAAGCAAAGGTTGGATTGCTAAACCAGAACAGATTGGTTGGGTTGTATCATTCAGTGTCTGACTGCATCTCAGTGGTCTGATTTTGAGATGTCTAATGGGAACTAGGCTGCTGTTGGGGCAAAGAACTTCTGTGCCTTTTACTGCCCTCGTTGAGTAATATTGCACAGTGCCTTGCACTGCCAAAGGAAACCTTCCCCTTACTTGTAGCTGATCGCTACTTGTAAACTCTAGCAGTCCTTGTCAGAAAACATAACTAACATTCAGATGTTCTGGGGAAAGATAACAGTCCTTGCTCAGGATTCTTTCAACAAAAGTTTTATTAATAATAAATGATCATCACTACCTCTCATTTAAATTCTGTCTTGGGTGTTCTCCAAAGGTTTCCACTGTAAGAGTATTTCATTACTAATTTATCATTCTGAATTTCTTTAATTCTACCTACAGCCATATCTTTTCCACTCAACAAACTATGAACAATTTGGTAGGTTGGACAGACGTATCTTCCTCTTGTATTTCACCAGGAGAATTTAATGCTAATATGTGTTTCTTCAAAAGGCTGAAGTTTCTTCCCAGAGGTTTTTTTTTTGAATACCAGATAGTTCTGAACGTATTTTAGGTATAGTGCACAGGCGACATTAACTAATGTGGGCTTAACTTTTCAGTGGAGTTATACTGATTTCCCCAGCTAATGACTTGCTTCAGTTTTTTTCAATTAACTATTTTATGGCAGAGAGGGCTTTAATCAACATGCCTTAAAAGATGTTTGTATTGTAAGAGTTCATCAGCACCCACTCTAAATTTTTTCCAGTTAAAGTTATCTGACTTCTTTTTATGGCCAGCAAACTACTATGATATGAGAGAGCAACTGGAAAAGCTGGAATAAACTCCAAGTCCAACTAAAACTCTAAAATCACACAGTCCCTGCATATATTCCGGAATCTAAACTAAACAGAGGCCTTGAGGAACAGGGCTTGAAGGAGAGAGGAGGAGCTGGGAAAAAAAGTGTTTCATGTGTGGGAGAGTAGCCCTGTTGCAGAGGCATGACAAGGCTTTGCTTTTCACTGGCCACAGTCTTATTTCAGAAAAATGAGATTGCTTTAGAACAAATGTTTCTGCAACAGTATGGATATTTTCATGATAATAATGCGTTATTCCTGGGCTTTATCTGTTTGTGAATGGTCTGTAGCTGCTGAACTAAGTCTGCCTCACGATATAGACTAAGTCTGAAAGGAAGCTGACAAGCACTTAACAACCTTTAATTACTGGCAATTTACCAGGCATCAGTGTCTCCATGACCTCAGTGAAATCGGATGCCACAGAAGATCATAGAAGAATAGTATATAAATAGCTTGACCAAACTGATTAGATGGGTTGCACTTCCGCAGGAGTGGATGTTACCTTTGGTTTTAAAAACAAAATCATGATCACAATTCATTTGCATTTTTACTGATAACTTCTGCAAGGGAGTGAGTGAGTGGGACCATTTTAACCTACCCAGATGGATTGGAGATGGAGCATTTTAGGAAGGCAGCATTGGGAGGCTTTCAGTGTGGCTGACACCAGGGGTCCTTCCATTTTCTATTTAAAAAGCAACTGTAATGCTGTTAACCTAGCATTTTTTAAGAGAATACAGAATGCCTATTAAAAATATATATATATAATTATTTTATTTTTCTTTTTAATCTGTCAAGGTTGTTCGGGAAATAATTTCAAAACCCTTGAAAACAAAACAGGCTGATCAGAAGTAACTTTTATTATAGCTGGTACTAGTATTAAAATGTTCATTAATTCATTTGTTTAACCCCCTTCCAAATCTGTTTCATATCCTCTTAGGAAGAGCATAAGGGTCCAAGAGTGCTTTTACATAATGTTTTCAGGATCTTGCCCTGTCTGAAAGAAAGTTTTGAAAGGCCTTTAAAAAATTAGCAAATATAAACCAAAAGGTAACAAGGAAAAATACTTGGCTATTATGTCTAGTCTACCAAAATGTTTTGCTAAACTTATGCAAAAATAATATATTTTGATGGGAAATTTTTAGATTAATAAGTAATATAGTTTAGTAAGTCTTTAGTGTGTAGTGCTTTCTATTGAAGATTTTTAATTAAAAAAGAAAATAGTGAATTTGGGTGGTTAGTTGCTGACAGGTTTTTTTAACCACATCTAATACATAAATCTGTCCTGGGGTCTCCTGTAATATCATGTTTCCTTGTCATAATTCCTAATGCACTGGATTTAAGAAAATGTGAACATAGGAAAAAAACCTCTAAAAAGTAAGAAACCTGTGTAAAAACAAACAGTGGGAATGTGTAGCTAGAGATGTTGAGAAAAATGCATCACATTTCCCAAGCTTTAGCTGCATTCAGAAAATACATTTGCTTTGTGTGGTGGCTTTCAATTCTTTCGGTGTATCATTACTATCAGTGGTACTACTCCTGAGACAGGCCTTCTGAAGATGGTGTTTCTAGCATTTGGCACTATAGATGGACAGCTTAGTGCTAGAGGGAAAAAATCTAGGAACCGCTCCTGAAAAAATTGCGTTCAGACATTGCAATCTGATGTGTTTTTAAGATTCCTGTTATCTTAGAATTTTTTATGAAAACAATGCAGACAACAGGGGAACAAAGAGGACACAAGTGGTTTACCTAAAGGTCTGGTTACCGCAGCAGTGTCAAGGTTAATTATACACAAAGAGAAGTTTGTTTATTTTGTGTGGCCACTGTAGTAAGTGCCCAGCTTAGCAGAACAGATGAATGAGAAGGAGCCTTGCAAAGTGGGCCAGCAGAAAAGCTTGTACTCAATAGAAGATGAAGAAAAAGTCCCAATGGTCCATTTTGGAGAAGCAGATGAACAGGGTGTTGAGATAGATATCATAGACAGTGTAAGGAATGTGATGGGAGCTGCAAGTGAGGCAAGACTGGTGAGGCTACTATCTAAAAGATATTAAGACATAGGAAAGGAAAACTTGGTCCTCATTAACCTTAGCCCTCATTAACCTTGGCAGGATCCCTAATGCTTTGTCAAAGTATTAGTTGATTTAATTAAGTTAATCCTTCATCTCTCCCAGTAAAT